TTCAAATCAAAGAGACTGAGCATCAGCCCTAATAGAAATCTCTGTTGAGGGATTATGAAAATGTATTAGTATCAAAACAGCCCTTTCAAACAGTCATCTAGGAACTAGAGTTTGTTGTTGAAATGACTGCCTTAAATCCAAACCCTAGCTTGCTGAGTTGTTTTTCCTTTTAATTTCTCAAAAGATCTTCGTCAGTCATCTGCTACAATATACTCATTATGGAGCTACCATATTCCTGGGACTCTCTTCGGTTGGTTTATTCCGTGATATCTGGTGTCTGTGTGCAAGTAGTAGATTAGGTGCCAGGTGCCTAGGGAGAGTACAAGACACAGGCTCTTGTTCTTAGAGTCTACAGACATGGGGAAAGCAGGGAACTGAAAGACATTCACTATGCCTAGAAGGTAGTGTGCAAGGTAAGGAGAAGCCAGACCTGAGTTGGGAGAGTAAGGCAAATCAGAAGGGGCTTTGTAGGTAGGGTGACCATGTAATTTATCATCCAAACTGGAACCCGTGGGCCTGTCAAAGGGGGCATTATTAATAAATACACCAGAACAGCAGGCATGAGGTGCAACTATCCCAGATAGACTGAGACGCATGATTGTTACCCTGCTTCTAGGGTTAAGGAATTTGCGTATTACTCAAGAAGTGGTAAACAAGGAGCCGTGGCAGGTTTTTAATCTAGAAAATGACGTTAGAGTACTTTGCATTGTGGAAGGCAGAAGGGGAGACATGGAGACCATGTAAGGGCTGTTCCAGGGACCCAGGCCTCAGAAGGTGGCGGCCAGGAGCTCGTAAAGACAATGGAGAGGCAGAGTGGTGAACAGACCTGAGGTTCCCTCGGAGACCCAACTGACAGAGCTTGGTGATCCATGAGACATGGAGGGTGAGCAGGACGGAGGAGGAGAGGATAGCACCCAGATGTCTGGGTGAGGGAAGGACATCGTTTACTGAGATGAAAAACGCATGAGGAGAGGAGCAGCTTTGGGGTAGAGGACGTTGGTGAGTTCCATCTTGCATAGGTTGTGTTCCAGGTACTGTTGCAGATCCACCAATTGGAGATGCTTGATAGACATTTCCCCCTTGTGTTCATCCGAGAAATCCGCCTGTACAATATACCAGTATGCATGGCTTTAATTCCCTATAAAGGTCTTAAGCGCCTAGATTTGCCTTGTTTCACACAAGGGATCATGTCGCTCCGGAATAATCCAGTTACTGTTTTGAGCCTCGTGCAAAGTGTGGAGTATGGCCTCTCCTCCTGAAGCAAGTTCAGCTTGGCTACGAAATGGGGAACCCGGCTTCCTGCAGCACAGTGTTTCCCCACTGCCTGTCAGGCTGGGGGAGATGTGGGTGTTTCTGTAGCTTTAGAACTAAAGAAATGTCCCGCATGAGAGCTCCTTATTGAAACAATATTTATAGCCTCTTGCAGAATACTATTTCAAAAATACCTGGTATTTATAAAGCACTTGTTCTTTTTTTTATTTTTAAAGATTTTATTTATTTTTTTATTGGAGGAGGGGCAGCGAGGAGCAGAGGGAGAGGGAGAATCCTAAGCAGGCTCCAAGCTCAGCGCAAGCCAGATGCTGGGGTGGATCTCATGACCTTGAGATCATGACCTGAGCCAAGATCAAGAGTCTGATGCTCAACCGACTGAGCCACCCAGGCGCCCCTATAAAGTACTTCAAAGAGCTTGCCTGTATCTTTCCATATGTCCTTAGAACGTACATATGAAATTGGCAAGAGGCAGATTCACATTCTAAATGACGGTGAAAAAAACACAAATATCACAACACTTTCTGAATGCTTTATTGCTTAATGTTTATATTACCCTAATATTTCCATTTTTAATGTGCAGCCATCTAAAGGCTTCCCCTTAATCTCCTGGATAATTTCAGAAGCAGATTATCTAGTTCGCATTCAACGTTTATTTCAATTTATGGACAGATAACGAATATCATACCTTTCCCCAACGTATTTGAAATGATAGTGGTTCATTTTAAATTTCATACTGTAGATTTAGCAGAAGGCATCATTGGGAATGGCTTTTCTTAAGCGTGTTTAATCTTACTGAAATTAAAGTGATTATATAAAAATCTATACAAAAAGATGGGGGTGAGTTTTAGGTCATAATAACACTGTGCCCAACCTGGGTATCCCTAACCATTTTGCTTTGGGATGCAGAGGCCTGACAGGATTTGGTATATCAGGGAGATATTTAAATCTAGTAATATGTTATATGTTAATTAATTGAATTTAAATTCAATTAAAAAATACAAAACTGAAACAAAAAATAAATATAATATGATTGAAAAAATTAAATAAATGGAGAAACGGACAAAGGGAGCATAAAAGGAAAGTAAACAGAAGGTAAGGTATTTAAGGATTCACAAAAAGAGGGTATAGGGCTGGAAGCGACACGAAATTCAAACCTGATTCCCACCTCTTTAAAGGTAGAATATAAATATGATGTTTATTTATTTTTTTTAGATTTTATTTATTTGCCAGAGAGAGAGAGTGTGAGAGAGTGTGAGAGCACAAGCAAGGAGAGCGGCAGGCAGAGGGAGAGGGAGAAGCAGATTCCCCACCGAGCAAGGAGCCCGATGCGAGACTCGATCCCAGGACCCTGGGATCATGACCTAAGCCAAAGGCAGATACCTAACCGACTGAGCCACCCAGGCGTCCCATAAATATGATGTTTAATCGAACAATCTCTGCCCTTCTCTCCTGATGTCCTGTCCCGCACCCATTCTCTTGAATCAGGGACTTACTCAAGCACCTTAAGCGTGTAGGCAACTCTTATTTTTTATATAGCTTATCTTTTGTCTCTGTCTCCTTTCACTGACTTTCCTAGTTACACAGCAATTAGTGACAGAGTTCTCTAAAATAAATATCCAGGGGCGCCTGGGTGGCTTAGTTGTTGAGTGTCTGCCTTCGGCTCAGGTCATGATCCCAGGGTCCTGGGATGGAGCCCTCGGTTGGACTCCCTGCTCAGCGGGAAGCCTGTTTCTCCCTCTCCCACTCCCCCTGCTTGCATTTCTTCTCTCGCTGTCTCTCTCTCTCTGTCAAATAGATAAAATCTTTTTAAAAAAATAAAATAAATATCCAAATTCTCCTATTCAACAATTCTTTGCTATAGAGCAGTGGTTTTCAGCCCTCTTAGCCTCAACAGACCTCCTTCGTTACAACAAATACCTTGGTCACGCTTCTTCTCCTACCCAGAAATATAATCTTACCTGTACACATCATTGCAAAAAACCAGTATGTTACCTAGTTGCAAAATAAGGGAGAAATAAAAAGAATGCAATGCATAATAAAATAGCGGGTATTTTAATATGTAAATGCTTGGATAGGGCTTCACTGGAAGGCCCCCATGACGTGGTCAGGCGCCTGCACTTGTCAGCCATCATCCCGAATGCAAACACAGGCCCATCCAGCCGCGTTGCCGGGTGGCTCCAGCGATAATTGCCATTACCATTACCCACACAATTGTCTGCAGTGAGGAGTAACTCAAGGCAGCACTGTAAACCAAGCAAAGTTTATTCCATGTCCAGTTGTAATCTCCTGGAGAAGTCAGCGTTTATTAAAGGTGGGTCAAACGGTTTTGTGTTTATGTGTAAAATGCAGTTCTATTCTAATTGCAAAGAACTGTTTCACATGTGCGGCAGGACGTTGGGAGCACACACTGGAACACGCCCTCTGGGGGTCTGTCCCGTGCGCTGCAGTGGAACCCCAGCCACTGAACACAGTGACACCCTCTCTTGGGTTGTGGCAAACAAAACTGCCTCACAAATGTCCAAAACGTCTCTAATTGGTATCACCCTGCTGAAAGAGAAGAGGAAGATTTTTTTTTTTTTTAATTGCAAATCCTTATTTAGGGTTGTCTTTCCCTTCGGTTTGGAGTGCAGCTTTTGGGGATCAACTCCTTAGGAATTGTAAGGGTGAATAGGTCTAAATACCTGTTCAGAAAAACTAGAAGGGAAACAGGTGAGACGAAAGGTGGGTGAACGAATCAGAGGCAGGGCACGAGAAGGGCAGAGCAGTTTGGTAGCTGGTGGAAGTCAAACCAAAGTGAATCCTAGCCCTGGCACTTGGCTAGATGATCTGGAAAAATCCTTTTAGACTCTCTGGGTCTCTTTCTTCACCTGTAACACAAATACTTATGCCTCATTTGTTGGGCGGTTATGGGAATGAAGGGGGATGGTAATATATTGAAGTAGCTGACATTGTGCCTGGGATCCAGGATGGACTTAAAACCTGCTGGTTTCCTCTGCTCCCCTCTGCTCCTACAGAGACTTATAATAATGGAATTTGCATTCCAGAAGGAGAATGTCAGAGTAATAATTAGGTGACATTTTTTTCTGGGTCCTTAGGTTTTTAGGTTCTTAATTTCTTAGGTTCTTAATTTTTAAGGTCAAAAACCTGAGATAGGGTACATCATATACCTTGAAGCACCTTGAATTTTTGTTGAAACGGACCTTTTGCATTTCAGATTTGGATTTGAGACTCTAAAATATTCCTTGGAGAGAAAAAGGTTACTTTTTAAAGTTACAAAAGAAATACGTTGCTGTAGAAACTTCAAACAATATAGCTGTACATAAATTTAAACTTGAAATCCTTACCACCCACTCCAACTCCCGAAGGGTAACCAACATGAGTAGAATTTAAACTTGAGTGCTGCTGTAGTCTGCCTCCCAGCCTTGGCCAAGCTGTTCCTTCTGGACTCTCTGAGCACTGTCCACGTGACTCTTCCACATCTGTCCTGGTGAAGCCACCCTGCTATGAAATGCCCACCTGATTCTACTCATTTCTAATTGCTTCCACATGGCTTTTCTTTGTCAGAGGGCTGTGATTGATGTATATCACTTTATGTTTCTCCTGTAAAGGTTGTGCATTTTTTTTCTTTTACGGTGGGTCATGAATTTATTGAGAAGACTATTTTACTTTATTGTCATATATTATTTTGCTGTATTATAAGGCCTTACGGTTTTTTCTGTTTGCATTAGAAAGTTGCTCAAAAGCAGAAAACATGGACCAAAGCGTTGAAATTGTGACGATACATGAACATTGTGTAGGAACAACTCTGCCTGGAGACCATGAATGAAAAACGTAGAGTATGAGGAACTAAGGACTTTTTGAGTATTAATCATAAATAAGCTTACTTAAGGAAGAAATATAAGTGCATGGAATTCTTTAACATTTGGAATTACCAGCCTGCTTGTATCCCTAGAGGTACTTGTGTGCTGGGTGACGCTGTCTTACTTCCTAACTTTGTGCAGCATTATCTTTGTAACCACTTACAGGTCTTGTAAATGCTCTGTTACCTTATTTCCATTGTAACTGTGATTGAAACAAGTTTTGTAAGAATGAACAATTCTTTGAACAATTTGAGATGTAATTTTGTGTCCAGAGGATTGATGCTTTTGTGTATTATGAGTTTTCTTCACAAAGGCATTATCTTATTAATTTTAACCAACTCTGGAATAGGCATCATAAGCAAGGAGGGAAATAATCACAACAGTATCTTAAGTTTTCATGTGCACAGATTTTTATGCACTAGAGCAGCGTGGAGGGGTCTGATGCACAGTTAAAGCATTCCTTTGTTGGGGGGACTGTGGTGACCTCCACTGCATCCGATGGACATTCATTAGGGTTTTCCTTTTCATTCCCTCCCTAAGAGAAAGCTTAGTAGCAGGCAAGCAAAACCCCTAACCTATGGAAACTGGTATTTCACATATGGGATGCTTCAGCCGAGGTAAAAATCTGTCATTTTTAAAAAAAATTATTAATCCAGAATTCCCCTAGTTAATTTCAGTTCCCCGTGTAGACATTGCTTTCTTGAAAGGCTGTCATGATTTCTTCATCTGACTTGAAGGAGTTTCCAATGGGGAGAAGACAATGTCTTCTCGCCTTATTTCAAACACCCAGGAAGCCGTAAAAAAGCCGCCTCCTTTATTAGATGAGGCCACGATGCTTCCTTAGGGATATCGGAAGTTTGCTTGAAAGCTACTCTGACTGGGGTTGGTGGACAGGTCCACCAGGATTTACATTAAAAAATGAAGAGTAGGCATGTCATTATATGTCAATAAAAATGCGGGGCGGGGGAGAAATAGGCTTCTTTTGAAGGTAGACCTAGAAATTGTGTTAGCCACGGCCATCTAAAATGTACTCTCATCTCTTAGGTATACGTAAGTTTTTACTCGGTTTGTGAGTTGCATGCCTATACACTATTTTTTACAGAAATACAGTAGTGTCCCATCACCTCCAAAAGTTTCCTCCTGCCCTCTTTATTAGTATTTTGTGTCTGGGTGATAAGAATACTTAGCATAAGATCTACCCTCTCGGCAAATTTTTAAGTATACAGCACAGTGCCATTAACCACAGGCATAACGCTGTTCCACGGGTGTATGCTTCTCTCTGACATCATCAAGTTGTGTACATTAAATACGTGCAGCCTTTTGTAGGTCATACCTCCATAAAGTGGTTAAAATATTTAAAAATACTTTGAGAGTAGGCATCTAAACCTGGGAGGAGATTGACATTTCAGCCACATCCAAGCACATTGTTCATGGACTGTCTCACTAAATTCAGGTGTGGTTGGAGCTGAGCTAGTAGGATGTTGTTACTATATTCCCCATTTTTCTCTTTCTTTCTTTCTTTCTTTCTTTCTTTCTTTCTTTCTTTCTTTCTTTCTCTTTCTTTCTTTCTTCTTCTTTCTTAATATTTTATTTATTTATTTGACAGAGAGAGAGACAGAGCAAGCACAAGCAGGGGGTAGTGGCAGAGGGAGAGGGAGAAGCAGGCTCCCTTCGGAGCAGGGAGCCCGATGCGGGACTCTATCCTGAGACCCTGGGATCATGACCTGAGCCAAAGGCAGACGCTTAACCGACTGAGCCACCCAGGCATCCCCGATAGATGATTTAAACTTAGCTCTGACTTAACTGGATAAATTGTGGGCATTGATTACTGATGAAGGATTAAAGATAAATTTTGAAAATACAGCATCTCTGGCTTTGAGTAAAACTTAAAAAAAAAGCCCAAGCTTGCTGAATTGCTTTAAAATCTCCTTCATTCCCGTTTAACGTACCTTTTAAAGACCGATTTCTTTACTATGACTGTTATTAAAACAAAACACAGAAACATTTTAGATATGCATTATCTCTTGCAAGAGCATTGCCATCCATCCAGTTTAGATTAGTAATTTAACAAACAAGAAGCAAGCTCATTTGTCACATTAAAAACCATATTGATATACTTAGTTTGTTCAGGGTGTGCATATTGACATTTAATATGGGGAATACTATTTCTTTCATAAATTTTATTCCATTACGATTATGAAAAGACAAAGAATTGCGAGTATAATAGCTTTTCTTGAAATTAATTGTCTGAGTACACTTTCAATGAACAGTGTGCATGATTTGTCCTTTCTTCCTGTGTTTTATTTGTTCTGGTTATATTTATTGAAATGCAATTTGATATCTGCATACAATAAAAATTTGGAAAAAATAAAAAATGAAAAAATTTGGACTTCCTTTTTTTGGTTTTAAATTTCATTTGCCCCAATAATTCATTTTTATTATATTTTACAAAAGCATCCTTGCCCCAGGTAATTTGAGAAGCTCAAGTATAATGAATCCATCTGAAGTTGAAGAAACAAGCAGTTACTTGGTTTATATGCACATCTTGCAAACACCCCTTTTTCTAAGAGCTTTTAGTGATGGATTACTTGTACCCTGTGGTTTTCCCGTGACATGTGGGGTCCCCACCATTGTTTTCGTTCTTTTTAAATAAATGTAGATTGTTTCCTTCCAAGTTATTTTTTCCATGAGTTTCTTTATAGGAGGAATCTATTTTATTCCCAGAGTTTGTTCTTTCAAATGCTGTGACTTCTGTGTGATAACTTTGGTTTTCATAACTCACCTTGGAGACAACATTCTGTCTCATTTTAGGATGATTGTTTTGAAATGCATTTCAGATGTCTTTTCTAGCCTTGTAATATCAGTTGTTACAATCTATCAGCTCTGATTTCAAATATTGGTCTTGGGGTGCCTGGGTGGTTCAGTCGGTTAAGCGTCATGATTTTGGGGTCCTGGGATCGAGCCCCATGTTGGGCTCCCTGCTCAGCAGGGAGCCTGCTTCTCCCTCTCCCCCTGCCCTTCCCCCTGCTTGTGCTCTCTCTCGTGCACATGCAAATAAATAAATAAAATCTTTAAAAAAATAAAATACCGGTCTTTTAATAGGCTACTCACTATAAATATTTTTTTCTGAAAATAAATTATTTTTAAAACGAGAACCGCGTCATGAAATTGGTCAAGAGTGGGTTCCTTAGTATCTCCTGGGTGGGAGATTGCTTTCAGAGTCTGGACTTGGAATAGCTGTTAGTAGTTGACCAGGTCATTTGGATTTTTAAGTGCTTTATAACCACCTTAGTTATTTGGTGATTTGGATCCATGGATGGCGTTGTAGTTTCCTCGCTGCTATAGCCAAGTACCGTCAACAAGGTGGCTTACAATCACAGAGAGTTCTGGAAGCTAGACATCTGAAATCGAGGTCTTGGCAGCGCCTTGCTCCCTTTGAAGGCTCTAAGGGGTGGATCTTTCCTCTTCCTGCGTCTGGTGGCTCCAGACCTCTAGACCGTATCTATCTGGTCTCTGCCTCTGTCTTCACGTGGCCTTCTGTCTCTTACAAGGACACTTGTCATTGGATTTACGGCCAGCCAGCTAATCCAGGATGATCTCATCTCGAGATCCTAACCTGAAAGACCCTTTTCTAAATCCAGTCACCTTCGCTGGTTCTGGGTGTTAGCATGTTGATGTATACTTTTTGGGGGACCACCACTCAACCCACTACAGATGGTAACAGAGTTTTTATAGTGACTGAGCATCCCTTGAGGGTTGTGTAGTGAGCTGTAATGGAGTTGCTGGACGGCTGGGAGCAGTGCCCGAGGGAAGAGTGCCGATGTGGGGGAGACAGTCCTGGACCTGAGTTCCCGTGCCCACATCCTCCTAGCTCCGTGCCCTGGGGACCTGTTTCCTAACTTCTCTGCGTCTCAACTTCTTCATCTGCTAAGTGACACAATGAGGAGACATAACATTCCTGAAAATTCTGAGCCGTGTGATAGATATGTCCGGCATGATTATAACTATGGTATACTCGTATTTGAAGATGCATTTTTTTTTTCATTTATGAAATCAGGGCACCCCTGGAAGCGAGCCACATGTTCCCTGACTCTGTGGATTCATGGTGCCTTTTGTGCTTTGGTCATTTTGTCCTGGCATTCCTAAGGCAAAAGAAATACCTGTCATTTTTTTGACAGCGTTCACTAATTTAGGTCCAGATGACTAAATAAGTATTTAAAGGATGTCCTAACAACGTAGTAGCAATTTGAAAAATAATTTTTTATTCTTCAGTAACTCCAGTTACTAAGGAGACATATGCTTATGCTGGGCACTGCACCACCTCTCCAACCTGGGAATTAGATTGGACACTGCCACCCTAATTCATGCTCCACACTGATTTTTGCACAATACTGCTTTTTATCACAGTGGCCATCCAAGAGCCAGCTTCTCAGAGATGTTGTCATCAACAGGAATGTAGCACAATCTAATCTGAGGCTCTACGATAACCCAAGCTGGTTGTAGGCATGATATCTGACAGAGGTCAAGTACTCTTTTCTAATTTGGTTATACTACATTTATTCCCAAATCAGCAACTTAAAAGCCTGCCTTGCTTTTTCTTTAAGAGTTTCCTACTTTGTATGACCCTAAATAATTGATATATTATATTTTGTTCTAAACATACCCCTTTTTCTAAATTTCCACCCCTATTTATTTTACTGTTGTAAAATTTTGTTTTCTAATTCCTGCATAAAGTAATTGTTCAGTAAATGCTTCTTGGTGAATACCATGCCAAAGACACCATTTTTTTTGTTCAGGTGAACACAGAGACGAACACAGGTGAGACAGTTTGCTGTGTGTGTTTTGTTTGTTTGTTCTTGACCTGGTACGGCTAACCAGCCACTTTTTATGAAACAAGCTCTGATCTAGCCTCTTTTACCTAGGCTCGAGGTAAGGATGATGAGTTAGTAAAAAAGTACTAGGTTGTCTTTGGTGCATCTTTCCATGAACCAAATTAATTACTCTATGAGGTGACTGTACCGAACTATGGATTCAATAGACAGATGGAGCATTTGAGAAATACGCACTTGTTCACAGTATTCCTTCTTACCCATCCTTCTGGTTCTCCTCCTCTTCAGTTCTTTCATTCATTCAAAAAGTATTTCTTGAGCACCCCAGTAGCTGTGTACTGGGGGTCTACCCCTACTAAGTGTCCTGAGCATGCGGAGATACGACAGCTATCGCGTGGTGTGCTGTAAGTACCTAGGACAGTGCCTGGTGCGTAGGTAGTCGTTGGCCCATGGCGGATCGAATTAATATTAATATTATTAAGTTTATGTATTATGCATTAAAAAGCTCCACCAGAAGGAACACAGAGATGAAATATAAATCAGTAGATCGTGAATATTTTATTGTGAACTTTGGCTAGAGCGAGAAGAATTTGAGACTTCTCTATGACAAGAGACATAATGATTCCCTTGTCGGCATTTGTCACATGCTCTTTAGTTTTTAGATTGCACATGTGTTGAAGGATCTGTCCTCAACCCATTAAAAAATATGTATGGTCCTCAGGGGTATTTAGTACATCAAAAGTGTTTAAAACCCTCAAGGATTAGTGAGTAATTAGCCTTCATGCCTAATGTGTAAACAGCGGAGGAATCTTTGATTTTGGCTCAGTCAATGTAATTTTGATGTTAACAGATCAGCAGCCAACAGTTAAATAAACTTTGACACCCAGAGCAGACCTGTCAACAGAGGCACAATCAAATCTACTATTGATTGATCAGCCAGCTAATTTCCTTCTAGTTTAGACATTTGTGAAACACTTTCCTTACACATTTGTGATACGCATATATGCAAAGCTTCTTGCTTAAAAAAACCCAACAAAACAAAAAATGAAAAATAGTTAGATAATTGTAGGGCACTCATGACTCACCCAATCAGACCAGATTTGAGATTGCTAGATTTGGGTCTCCATGCACCTGCTGAAGAATCACCGAGAAGCCTCTGATTCTTCTGAGCTCGTATCTAGGAGACAGCTACACTCCCCTCTTTCATTTTTGTGACCTATATGCAAAAACCTCTAATCCTTGAGCTCCCCCTCACCAAATCCTTCCTTTTCTCAGAAAAAAAGAATAATTCCATATTGCATAATTTACATTTGCAAATTGACTTTGTAGGCACTCCCAAAAGAGGCGGGGCGGGGGGGATGCCTTTATTTGTAAAATACAGGCCAATTGCTGTTGCAGCTTGAGAAAACAAAACAGGATCTTTGTAGCACTACGGGGCTGGCTTAGGTTTGAATGGAGAGACAGGTGACATTCTGAAGGGTTTTCTCTCTCATGTGGTCTTTTTCTAAAAACAGTTTCCTTTGGAAAGCAATGCTTATGGAAGTGAAATTTATTATTATTACTCTCCTAGTCAAGCATTTTCTTTTCATAAAGAGGATGGCCTCTGTCTTTGGATTGCTGTATTAGCATGACTTACCAGTCTGTCTAATTGCTGGGGCTCTGAATTCCAATTCTGGAAGGAGGGGGTTAAAACTTTTTAGAGAAATGTGTGACTCTGGGAT